ACCGTTATGATGAATTTTTAATCCTTGAGAGTTACCCTCGACGAAAAGCCGCGAAACGTCCAATCGCAGGCACAGGAATGGAGAACGTCAGTGTACGTAGTTATTCGTAAAAGGGGTGACACGTCCTTATTGAAAAGAATCCGGATTCTATGGGGGAAGGGGCGGGGGGCGGTGGATTTCGGTAACCAATAACTTGGATTTCGCTCCTTTCCACGGAAATAATCCTGGCATCGATTCCCTCTTTCTTACGGATCTTTCACCCTATTTCCAACTCTCAAGGTTTCTCTGAGAACGCTGGAATTGCTAGAATATAATAAGGGATTCATCATTGAATGCGCGAGAAATGTTTAAACTCGATTAACACGGGTGAACACAAACATGAATATACTCTCAATTGTTTGGAATATTATTACACACAATTGCGTTAAAGTCTTGGCAACTAACAAACTGTACTATTAGAAAACATCTTGACATTGTTTTCTATTTCTAGCATTTTCAACGAATCTTTACATTTAGACAGGCACGAAAGAATTCTTCTAGTTAAGACACAAAAAGCTGACAAACAGAATACTGATTACTGTATTTTAAACTAATCGACATTTTTTCAATAAATTATCGATAATTCTCGAATTAAATGCCTCTTCGCTACCAACGACAGATTTAAAACAACATCAAGTGCGGTTACATTCATCCACAAAAATAAAACTCACAACTTTCGTACAGTACGTACTGTAGCTTTTCTGAAGGCAAGCGTTTGTCATTTAATCACCGACGTGCGATTCAATTAAGGACATTCTGAAAAAATGTAATTTTTTCCTGCGAACCATATTCGCGAAAGAGTATCACAGACAAGCCGGAGTCGAGGTCGGAATGCAATTATTTAGAGGGTACGAGAGATATAATCGGTTTCTCAGCTTCATGCTGACGCGGCGCTTAAAAGAGCATGATTTGCCCGAATCTAGATGAAAAGAAGCAACGAGACCGTCGGCCAGAAAGAAATTTAATTGGGTCGGACAAAACGTGGCCACCGGCATTTTGGTACAGGGGCCATGCCACCTTGCGACTGGCATTTTCGGCTCCGTTGAACTTAACTGAGGCAACCTCATAGATACGAGCGTATGCTCGCGCGCTGCACTCGACGAGATTCGCAAAGCAAAGCTACCTATAATGGTCGACTTTTCTAACTCGTAGAACACAGTACTGAAATCCACGTGATTTTCTTCAAACACAATAATTGACTTTAAAGACAGCAACAACTCGACAAAATCGGTTGCATCGATCGATTCGAAAACGTAAAGGGAATCACAAAGTATGGGAATCGTTTGGAAAGAAGAAACGGATGGTATACGGCACGCGAAGCTCGATGAACACGAATGAAAGTGGTTCCTGCACAAAAGAGAAAGATCAGAAACTCGCACGTACTTTCGATCGTTCGAAATACACCGATTTTCCGCTTCCGTCTCGTTACACCGATTTCTTCCCGCTGCTATCTATTTCCTCGTCCCCGTTCCACAGATCCGATAACACGATCGACTATCGCTTATCAATGATTCATAATTGAATCAAACGTTGGAAAACGTTGAACATAGAACTCTCTGGTGGAAACGGGCTCGACAAACGCGAATGGCGTCATTCCAGTTAAAATGGCCAAGATTCGTGGTCGTCCGACGAACGGTATCGTTTCACCGCAGTGAACTCCGATTTCTCCGGACCGACTGAATATTTATCTTTCCGGGGATTTGTAACTCGATAGACCAGCTCGATTGCCTTAATTTACCGAGCGTTTCGTGAATTTTTTAATGGAATGGACACGTCGCCGGGTGGACGAGTTGCGGCGATTTCAATCCGTTTCACTCGCAAGATTTCTCACAGCTGACCAACGGACGCATCTCGGGACGGACGTTGTTATTCATGATCTCATGAATTTTCGCTCTTGACGAGCGTGCTCCAGGTTGCTCGTTACCTCGCGAGAAAGGCCGTTGCGAAGAGTGCGTGAGAAAGCTTCTGTTCCTTTCTCTCATTCCCAGGAGGAAGGTGAATAAAAAGTGAGATGAATTTTTCATTAAGAAAGCCGTGAGTGTAAACGCATAGCTCGGAAAGAAAACGAAGAAAGAAGAAAAAAATATTTCGTAGCCATGAACCGTAAAATTTGCTGTGGAAAGGAGGTAGCGTTAGGGGTAGCGGTGGCCCACTAACGTTTGACGTCACCGCGAGAGACTTTGCCTCTGCTCCCTTCCCAACCCGTTTCTCTCTTGGCAAGAATGGAAGCAGCGTGACCAGGTGACCGATAATCCGGAACAGAGTCGAGAACAAGCAGAGAAATGCGCGCGGTTTCAAGGATGCGGAAGAATCGACCTCATCGTTTCGCTAACTAATCATGCGGCGAATTTTCTCTCCCGATGGAAGATTATTTTTGCAATACAAAGCGGTCGTAAATCAAACGAAACGCGAGATGAAGTGGCAAAAAAGCTTGAGACTGATCGCGTATCGACGGTTATGAATTCCTGTCGGGAAATTTTCGCTAAAACAGCTCGTTATTCCGCGTGTTTACGCGATAACGGTGCTTGCTTCGTACTTTTCGTCGCTTTTCTATCTTTTTAGACCCGACCGTGGTAAAAAGAAAGAGAAAAAGCGTGCCGAGCCGCCGCTCCGTCGTGTCAGACTTTTGAGGCCGCCCTTATGTAAAGCCGTTATAGAAGCAAGAGAAAACGGCCAACGTTGGCAGAAAAGGGAAGATTAAACGGTTACCGTTGAAAGATTAAAGTTTACAAGCGCTAATCGCTTCGCGGATACTTCAGACGTGGGATACGTGTTCGTCTTAACTCTAAAATTAAGTCAGTAGCTGGCTAGAGGAGAGCAGTTTCGACGTATCGAATTTAATTTTAGAAAGATGAAATACTCGTTAACGTCACACGTGTACGATCAAGTGACAAACGGTAGAAAAGGAATTACGACCGTGCGATAAACCCAATTCACATCGCTGCCTAACTATCGCGTATGTATATCCCCAAGTGGATTCATTATTTCTACACTGGAAACAGCAAATGGAATCACACTAAACTGGAACGAAGAGGGACGAAACGCGATACTAGATGTTACCAGAGGGTGCAGTAGAATACACCGATGCGATAAGAGATCTAAGCAGTTTCATCGTACTTTCATCCGTAATCTCTCTGATAAAGATCTAAAATAACTTTGGCTTCATCCTATTTTGAGAATGACTCGTGTATCATCCTGTTAGCAGAGAACCCGACCTGTTGCGGATAATATTAAGTTTTTACTAAAATTCTATCCTTTGTAACCCGTCAACCAGATCAAAAGTATCGATAATCGTGAAGATCTTGGTACGATCAGGAGCATTCGTTCTTTCAGGCTCCACAGATATTGTCATCTTGCAATGGACTAAGAATTCTTAAGAAATTATGAGACTAACGATCCAATCTATACTATGACAATTGATAAATGAATATGATCTTTTCGCAATTGAAATGGAAATGGAACGTCAGACGGTATCAGTGACAAAGAAGTTGTTCTTCGCACGAAATCAAACGACTTCTGTTCAAGAGCAGTGTCCCATTTTATTCCAACCAGTTCAGGATAGACCATAACGTAAATTAAATCGAATTAGATTCTCTCTAACGTGCGTGAAATACACACGTTCGTACGTATTTCACGTTCTAGGCCGTGTGCGCGTCACTTCTAAGCGAAACGTCGTCGCTCGTATTGTAGAACAGCGTATCCCAGTTCTGGTATGCGTATCGTTCATAGAAGCGCGTGACTGTAAAAGTTATTATATGGAAACGACGTAATCTGCCCTTCTGTTACCTCGTAAACGGGATCGAAACTTTCATAGAATATGGAAACTGTGTTTATTCACGAATCAGTGTTTTACTATGTTTAGAGAGGATTGCGAAGAAATTCGTAAAAATCAACCGTACTCGCGCGCAATCCCATATTTTGTTAAATTGAACGAGAAACTTTTTCACTGGCGAAAGTTAGCCCGGTAAATTTATTCTCTTTGAGCCGAGAACGGAATTAATTCCGCTCTCTTTGCCCGTCGCATCATTCGTAACGAGCGTAATCGCAGTACACTACAAATGCTTTCTCTGATTGAAAGTTGCATCGTTTCGATTCGCTCTACTTATGAGCAGACAATATACATAGGCTCGCGGAAATATTCGAACGTTTATGAGTACTTTTCGTGAATATGTTATGCGTGCTACATGAAACATTTTGATCGTCATAAGCAAGAAATTATGAGATTAGTTTACTATCATTATGCTATTGAAGTTTAAAACAAATAATGTAAATATATAGAAAAATTACAAAATATTTAAAACGTAGCTATGTATCTCACAGAGATCGCAAAAGTATTTAAAGCAATCTTTTTACTGAATGTTAAAACAGCTTGCCGGTAAAAAATAGGAAATGTGATTGTGTTTCTCATGAAGCTCACAAAATTGGAGCTCATGAAATTTTAAATACCAATTTTCTTCGCCGCCTACTATTTTTCGTTTACATAATAGAATTTCATAGACAAATGAGTTTTAGTTCAGTTAATCGGATATTAACTAATGCTTCACTCCAATCAATGAAATCCACATAAATTGACTACTACTGCTCTCGATATTCCTTTACTATAAACGTTCATAAAACCGACGACATTCTCCAATATTTTATTTTTATCATACAATAATGCTTAATAGTATAATATATAATTTGCTTGATTAAAAAGGGAATTATTGGAGAAACTTCATAAATTGTCTACCCATTTTACTTTTACTCCTTTAAACGATGAAGCATTTGTCTGTTGTAAAAATTATTGACTAAACTTCACAAACTGACCCATTTTATTTATTAACTTAAACGATAAAGCGTAGCTCGAGATGAATTCCCCAAATTGGCCCCAGATTGGCCCTAGATTGGCCCTAGATTGTAAAATCACAAAAGAATGTTCCGTGACAAAGTGGCTATTCAATATTCATTCGTTTCTGTTGCAGCTTTCAGAGGACATCGGCTACGTCGTTTATTCCGCGCTCGGCAGCTTCTACATCCCGTCGTGCATCATGGTGTTCGTGTATATACGCATTTATTTCGCGGCGAAGGCTCGCGCGCGCCGCGGCATCCGCAAGCAGCCGCGTCCTCGTGCAGTGATACCGCCTGAGTCCCCGGATATTAGACAGACCAGTTTCACACAAAGCACGCCGGCCACTGAATCGAAAAAACAGGCTGGTTCCGCGATGGAGAACGTCGCGACTATCGAGAATCAGCCCGTACAAATACCCATCGTCACGTGCGACTTTGCTAGCGACGTTAGTACGTCTGAAGCGGATCCCGGAGGAGGGAACAGTATTCCCATGGAGGAAAAGGATACGCTGAAGGTTAAGGCCTTAATTTACCTCAAATGGTGTCTTTTCTTTTTCTTTTGTATATTTTTCCCTTGTCATATTTTGAATCATACTTTCTATCCATAAATAAAATATGTTGTCAAGAATAAGTGTCCGGATGCTTTTGAACGATAACATACAGAAAAGTACGCACAGCTTACTGTTCGTGAATTCGACGTATTAAATTTCCAAAAGTAGCTTCATGAAATATGAGGCAAGGATAGCATTATTGCTTATATGGAACTGTATGGAAAGGTACTTGCGATGAAAATATTCTTTCTCCTAAAATATGCCCCCTGTTGAAGAATTGATAGACAACAGACCATTTCGTACGTTTAACAATGTTATTCTTTTCCACGATTCGTCCCAAGTCAGACCATCTATCACGCTAGAAATACGAGCACGTGTTTCATATTCTACAAGTGCTTGAACGCACATGCTCGAATTCGGAGCAAACATTATCCTCTGTTACGTTGGAATACGAAGAAATCTATGTTATCAGCTTGTTCAAACGTATTCAAATTCGATCCCCCCCCCCTCCGCCGGAACTCGTCCCTTATTTTTCGTGAATTTTCCTCATCCACTCGGAGGCAGAACGTCAAACATCTTTTCTGAACGTCTTTTTCTAAATGTGTAGCAGATTCTCCGATCTCGAACGACACGAGACGCGCAAGACACCTGTCTCCACGCTCGTATCCCGGATGCACTTACCCAATAACTTCAGTTTCGTGGTCTGGGATCTGAATACATCCCGTTTGGCGATACAGCGACGCGTTTCTCAAGATCTCGTACACTGCTACAACGCATGAAAGAGAAACTAGTAAATCGCCGAATGTAGAAATTCGTTGTTGGATTTTCTCGCACGATTCTTCCACGGTACAAACAGAATCGAATAAAAATCTCGCGAATCGAAGAGCACAATTCTTTATCGTTCTAGTATCGAGATCGAATCTATCCTATACATGTCCGTTTCCCAGAATCTTTACTTTCTTGTGTTGTTTATAAATACGAAACAACTGGTATCGTCGGAAGCTTCTTGTACCAGTAAAGTGCATATTGTAAAACTGTGCATGGGGATAGCTTAGATTGGTAATGGCTATTTAGGCGGGTTAGAAACCACGTTGATCAACTGCACTAATTGAAAAGTATAGAGAAGCGACGATGTTGCAAACACTTGTTTATATTTACCTCAGAGTTTCCATTACACCATTTATCGTTTAATTATCGTTGAAACGGCCTTTTTCAAGTAACGATGATTAAAACGCTGTGTAAATCTGTTGGACAGGTGACGATCCCAGTCCCAGTGCAGAAGAGCAACCTGAAGGCAACGCTGTCAGTAAACGGCGACGGCCAATCGAGCGTGCCATCGCGGTGCAGGGCGCCTAGCGTCGGCATCGACGTCGACATGGTGTCGGAGTTCGACCCGTCGTCGTCGGACAGCGGCGTTGTATCCAGGTGTGCCGTGGTGAAGCCTTTAAAGCTTCGTCTCTGCCAGCCCATCTTCGGTCGTAGGAATCTGGGCAAGCTCAGAAGAGAGCACGGGGACGGAGGACGCACGTCTGGCAAAGACGACTCGGGCGTAGAGTCAAAATCGTCGAAACCGCGGGACCCGGAGAGAGAGAAGAGGAGACTGGCGAGAAAGAAGGAGAAACGAGCCACTCTGATACTCGGTTTCATCATGGGCAGCTTTATTGCCTGCTGGCTGCCATTCTTCGTCCTTTACATCGCGAAACCTGTGTTCCCTCGCGTCGAGATACCCACGCAGGCGTTCGTGATCGCGTTCTGGCTCGGCTACATGAACTCTGCCCTGAACCCCTTCATCTACACCGTCTTCAACAAGGATTTCCGCCGCGCGTTTCGCAGGATACTGTTCAAATAATCCCGTCGTCCCTGGACGAACGTTCTCGAACGGGATCCAGGTAACACGAATGAAAATCGATCGGCGAATACATCGCCTTTGCGAAGTGGAACGTCGATGGAAGGAGCGGGCAAGAACGCTTGAACAGATATCTTTATTGCGATAAGTTAGGAGAACGACACGACGAAGGTGTTTATGCGCAAGAGTCTTGGGAAATTCGGGCGCGACTGTAAAAACTCTCGCGGGACGCTTCCTTTGGAATGTAAACTCGGTGAAATTCTAAACTCGGTTCGTGTCTAATGTGGCCTCGGAGACGGGCGCACCGAGAATTTCCTCGTCCATGCAGTTCGAGGATAACAATTTTCCGGGAAGAAATCATGAGAAAGTTGACAAATTCGATAGCCCGTTTTGCCAGTGACGGCCATGAATCCTCTACACTCTACGAGATGTCGTGGACTATCGGTGTGTTTCAGCAACAGCTGCTGCCTCTCCCTCGATCGGATACAACTTCCGACTGGTTGTCGATTCAACATGACACCAAAGAAGACAGATGGAACTTCACGACAGCTAGCGATACGGATTCGAGAACTACGGCTGCATCGTGATTTTAAACTAATTATATCGAAGGGAGGAACGCGTGAAAAGTGTCAGAGACGTTTTCTTTTTTGCTCGACAAAGACGAATTATTGGTCGCGATGATCGCGACACGATTCGTGGGTTCTCTGTATCCCGCCTCCGAGGAATCGGATCTTTTCGTCGAAGCCACCTCGTCATCGTTCTTCGTCAGAATGGAAGAAAATTGGGTGGGGACGGGGGTGTACCTGCGGCATTCTTCCTTCTCCGAGTTCCTTGGACAGACGGCACACGGTCCGATTGTAAATTAAAAATCGCGACAATCCACTTACTATCGATGTACGTGAATGTAGATATGTATAGCATACGTGTATGTGTGTATATAATATGGCCGTCGCGAGCGGCTCGTCCGGAAAGTTTCTGTTCTTTGATATTCACGTAGGTGACTAAGAAAGGAACACCTTGCATGTTCGCTTGATTTCGCTTCGAAATTACCTGCTATTCGATTCGTGAGCAGTGTAAGAGATGGAAAATTTTCCGAAGCACGAGCTACCGAATACGAAGTTTCCTCTAGGAAGGGAAAATAGCAGTGTGTCGAAGATTGAAAGAGAAAAATAGAGGGAAAACGAAGGGAAGGGAAACTGAGAGTTCTGATTCTTCGCTACCATGTTTCACGCGACGTGGAACGAAAACTTTCGGAACGGGCTGTGGCATACGTTGCGCGTGTAATAATACGTAACTGTTCTACGATATTATATACGCACATCGGCACACGATAGCAGGAAGGACGAGGATCTCGAAGCGAGCACAAGTTCACGAGAGACGTGATCGGAATGATCGTCATCGGACAAATAAAATAAAAAAAAAGCTAAAACGAAAGGAGCGTGTTTCCTATTAAATAGGTACACATCGTTTTATCAATAGGATCGATATACGGCTACGGTTTAATCGTGTAATCGTTTAATCACGACAGTTTTTTCGAATTCTATCGATTTAAATAAACGGTAAGGATGCTGAAAACGTAACGATACGTATTATTATAAAAAAACGTAGAAGTTTCTCGAGTTTAAAAATCAAATGAAAGAAGAATGAAGATGCACGGGAAGAGAGAAGAGATACGGGGAAACGATCGCTTTGCACGACGTACGGTCAATGGGAATAGAATTCGCATAACAGCAAGGATAAAAAGTAGGATGTAATGCTTGCAATGTCAGATTTCTGTTTGTTCGGCTTGAAATATTAAATTTGACTACGCTACACCCTGGTGAAACCGCGATTAAAGATGAATGCACAGCTTTATTTGTTTATTGGTGACGCGCGAAGCCAACATAGAACCCTATGTGGTTTCAATTATTATGCGGCTTTACGCAATGTTTGCGCACCGGGGTGCCAATTCGCGATCAGCTGCTTTATAATTTAACGCTTGCCGACCTCACCGAGGCACCGAATCCGATCAAACCGGTTCGAAACTTACCACCCCCTTTTATCCGAGCGCACGCCAGTTTTACTTAATCGATAGCTGCGCGCCACCGGTGTACGCGATATTTTTCTAACTCTTTCTTTCCATCGATTAAATTTGCTACGTAATTTCGAATATCGAAAGAGAAAGCTGTATTCGTATTCATAAATACGATTTACAAGTATCGGGACATTGACCAAAAATAAAATAAATCTCAGAAATGATTGGGAAATTACCTAAATCTCTGATTATATCAACGATTGTTATCCAGTTCCCAAAGACGTCCTAATATTTATGAACTTATTTAAGGATATTTTTCAGAATTGAAATCGCAGGAAACGACACGATGTTCAAGTTATGTGAAATATTTTACGCGAATCTGTATTGAGAAATGTTGGCACGCCTATCTGTCTAGCAAAAATTCGAAACAAATCAAATAGCGGCAAAAACGTAGCTCATAAATCGAAAGTGGCCCATCCATCGGAACAAATTTCGAAAAACAATTTCCATCGATAGCATTCAATCTGGTCTCTCTATTTCGCAGATTAAAGATCATCCCCGCAGTCCGACCGCGAGAAACTCGAATAAAAAATTACTTTCGGGCTTCTGTACCGAGACCGAGGATCGAAATCCGGCTATTTTTGGTCGGGGATTAAGAGTTAAGAGCCAGCATACGTTTCACATAACCAACACACCTATATCGAACTCTCTTTGCTTCCAATCGGTCTTTTACAACTTTCAGAATTACATTTCCGTTCAACAGCGGAAAACGTGTTTTAGAAAACGATTCCTATTCAAATCGACCAGTTCATTCGTCGATCGACGTAATATCGAAAATATTGAGAGTGAAAATACCAGATGTGAAAATTACCAAAATTATGAATTCGTATTTTTTTCATAGATTGCGACGATGCGCTTCTTAATGACATTTCGTGCAATATACGAATGAAAGCTTTCATTACATTTTGTTTCATTTCGATTCCGCTGATGCAAGTTTTACACTTCATCTCTTTCTATTTTCAGTGTGTATATCTTTTATCAAAAATATCTTTAAAATTCCAATTTTTAAAAGCTCTGTAGTTCAGTGTATAAACCGAACAGTTCAAAATCAAAGATATCTTTCATATACCTTTCATTTCTTTCATCTCGGCATAGGTTCAATATTATACCCTAGTTATCGATAGCTGCAGCGTTCAAACTAAAAATTTCCAACAAAATCACGCACCGATGTTCCAAATAAAAGATAATTTCAAGAATGAAATGTTTTCCACGTAACATTTACCCCTAGAGCGCGTTTCAAACTAATTTACGAATTAGCCGCAACCCCTTTATAGCCAGGCTGTACATATGTCACGTGTGCACGCATCTACGTGACACGCAACGCGCTACAACGATAAATCAATAAAGCGTATATACGTGTGGTCTGTAGTATGCAATACACGCGTGTGTCTAGCTTTCTCGCATTAATTCTGTCTCTCTCCGACCAAGCTCCACGCATTAAGGGTGAACTGGGGCAAAGTGTCGGGGGAATAGACGAACAAGACAGTCTCTCGAGTGTACAGAACCAATAAGAGGCGCGCTGATAAGATTGCAACGTTCATGCGACGGATTATTAGCATAGCTGAGATCGATGGACCGTGTACACACGGATACACGTACCACATAATATACCGTATATACGTTTTTCCAGTCGGATTTTTGCTTATGAAAGGGTTAGGAAATCGACGGTTTTGATGGATCGATCGTACATTAAACAACGTAGGTTGATACACCCTTGATAATTATTTGAATCGGCCGCAACGAGGTGCAAACGCAACGTTTGCACAGCCAACTATCGAGCGGTTTGCGTGGAAAGCTGCGAATAAAAGCGGACAAAACTTTTGACATGGCCGTTACAAATTGATTTCGACTGGCTGGAGGAACCTGATGCGCATTTGTTATCCGGCTATCTTAGTCGCGTTCCGCGCCGATATTAGCATGTAAAATTAAACGAAATACCAGACCGTAGAAAAACGAATACGTGTTCGTTACGATATTTGTCTCCTTGGCTCGGTTTCACCCTTCGATAACCCGAGATCCATCGGTCGCGGGGAACAATTTCGCGTCGATCGCAACCTCGTGCAATCCCATCTCGAAATATTACAACGTGTACCTTGTAACATGAAATCCTGTATTAGACGGTCGGCTGGATCCTTGAGAATTTATCGTGCACGAAATAAAAGGACTGGAGATGCTGTCGTAAGATACTATGTTCTCGAACGCGTAAACGGAAGCCAGAAATGGATACACATAACCGAGTGGAATTTACGTTCTAACCGAGAGGCCGGATGCTCGGTAATATTTCAGACGATCAAACATCGATACAGAGCTCCCTGCTGCTTTTTCCTTCTTTCGCTCTTTCGTCTCGTTATCGCTGATATCCAATACGTTCGTCTCTTTTCACGATCTATTGATCTCGGTCCACGTTTTTGATCTCCATCTAGAAAATCGTCGAGGTTGGAGAGACACAGAGCAATCTTGAGAACTTGTGCCTTTTCCTCTCTTGTCTTTTTCCTTCTTCTTCTTTTTTTTTTTTTTTTTTTCGTTGCTCTCCAGAAACCTTGCTCTATTCGATACCTTGAAAATTCCTCATCGAACGCTCGCCGTGTTTCCCCGAAAAGCGAGATCGACCGAAGATCATCGATCTCTCTGCCAAAGTGGCACGGAATCGAGACACACGCAGCAATAGGAAAGAATAAATGAATCGTCGAACGTTTCTCCTCGTTGTTAGTTTCAGAGTTAATTAGATCGATATAAGATGTAAGCAAAGTTCGTACAGCGAGATTCGACATTTTCCTGTAAACGAGTTACTTGTAAGATAGTAAGATTAAGTCTGATGAGACTAAATAATAAAATGTAAGAGAAGTGTGCTTGGCGTTGGCAAACGCTAAGACGAAAATTGCAAAAGAGGGAAATACCGTGAATCCGTAAAATGCAACGTACTAAGTAATTACGATAACGTACTGTCGTTTACCATTAATATCGTTAATGAAACTACGTGTACGCGGCGATCTTGCCTTAGGCGGTCGACCAAATTTTTTGCAAACCAAATTTTTCCATGAATCTCTCTGTGTGTCAGTAATTAATTACCTTACCATACGTACACACGATGTTAACTTAAGCTGTAAGCATAAGAGAAATTTACCAACGTTAGAAGCAAAAGACCTAAATCGTGCGGAGATTTTGAACGAATGATATACGAAGAACAAAAACGACGAAGAACGATCTCGAAGGACTGGTGTAAAGAGAGAAGCAAGCTAAACGATGTTTAAAATAAAAAAAAAAGGAAACCGATCATTCTAATTCTAATATTACGCTCGTACCGTCTCTGAACCTAAGCGACACGCAACACGTTGTCACGAGATTAAAATAATAAATTAACGAAGACACGATACTTTGTATTTATACACGTTGTATACAGATATGTATATTGTTACTAATATTATTCTTATTATTATCAACAGATTACCATTATTCTTATTATCGTCATTATCATTCTCGATTCTTATTACCATCGATCATTCTTACATATTAAATAATCCAGCGTCGCCGTAGGGATCGAACGATCTATTTTAATTATTATTTCTACTCGTCGAGCGGCACTACTCCTTTGTCTGCTCGAGATTTTGAAGTAGAGCGAGATCGTTCGTTATATCCACCTCGCTGATAACGCTGCTAACAATCTATTTACCCGATTCCAATCAAACTTTTCCAAAAATATCTCCGGTATCCAAGCGGCGACGAACGGACCACCGAGAGCGACGAGATGCATCCAGTAGATTTACAGACACTTTTATCGTTAGATTCATCTTACGAGAACGCAAACTTCCGAGATTCATCCTTGTCCGTGGAAAACCAGACGAACTGGTATATTTCACTTCGAATCACCGACTAAAAACTTGGATTAATTATCTCGATAACCTAGTCTCATTACTCATCCCGTTGTTTTTTCCTCTCTCCAACTTTTGTAAACTCATAAAATTACAGCCGGATAATACTCCATTAATAGTACGTTGATTCGAAAATTTCTGCAAACTAAACGCAGTCAATTGACATTCCACCGCGTTAAATGTACGATAACTGCACGCCTTTCAAACACGTACACACACCGTCGAGCTCGTAATTAATTCGAGCATTTTCCATTTCCGTGCCTCTTTTTAAGACCCACCTACTCTATTTACGATTTCAATTATCATTGTGATACCGGACCGCTTAAAAACAATTTCCCATTTAATACCAAAGCTTCCGAAGCATGTTGCATTGTTTCGTTCTTTAAAATGTCGCAGGCATCGCGAATTAATTTATTTGCTGATTTATTCACCTACCGCGCCACTATCGTATGCTCTACCGATATTCTAACAATTATAAAAAAAAATTTTTCATTCGTGATTAATCACACGACGTAATAACCCGAACGATCTCGCGCTGGGCGCCGCGAAACGATCTCTATCGATAATATTGGAGCAATGAAATCACTGTGATATCACTAAAACGCTTTCAAGGTGTGTGTTGGAATCGACAATTATCGCCACGCTTGCCGGGCTCAGCGTGGCTAAGTTTCCAATAAATTAAAAGTGGCAGAAATGGAATTAGATATTTGGGGGGGGGGAGGTGAGAGAGAGAGAGAGAGAGAGAGAGAGAAAGAGAGAGAGACAAAGAAAAAAAGATGATTTATGGTATCGATTATCGTAAATTATTGTAAATCATATTGTATTGTATATACGTATACATACTTATACATAATATATAAATATACACATAGAGTATATTACGGATGACTACTAATATCATTAAAGATTACTATGATCGTATTACCGTCATTGTTAGCCGACACTATTATCGATGCAACAAGTTCTACTGTCTAATAGCGTTGATCGTCTGTCGCGGAGAGAGCGAGAGAGAGAGAGTGCAGCCTACGCAAGATCAAAACCGAACACGAAACTATAATACAACGGCCGAATGATATCGGATCGTTTGCGAACGATTGTTTTATTGTACATGGGAAACCATATATCCGGAAGGGATCTCGTTTCCGATTCATTCCGATTTTTCTTCGATCTAGTAACGTTTCTATATATAAGCGAACACACGGTTTTCTTCGACTTTATCATCGATCGTCGTAGAGGAAAAGAAACGTAAAGAGAAGAAAAAGAATCTGAAAAAGCGTTGTAGTAGTCTATTTGAAAGGGCAGTTGCAAATTCTATCGGGGGGGGGGGGAGAGAGAGAGAGAGAGAGAGAGAGAGAAAGAGAGAGAGACAAAGAAAAAAAGATGATTTATGGTATCGATTATCGTAAATTATTGTAAATCATATTGTATTGTATATACGTATACATACTTATACATAATATATAAATATACACATAGAGTATATTACGGATGACTACTAATATCATTAAAGATTACTATGATCGTATTACCGTCATTGTTAGCCGACACTATTATCGATGCAACAAGTTCTACTGTCTAATAGCGTTGATCGTCTGTCGCGGAGAGAGCGAGAGAGAGAGAGTGCAGCCTACGCAAGATCAAAACCGAACACGAAACTATAATACAACGGCCGAATGATATCGGATCGTTTGCGAACGATTGTTTTATTGTACATGGGAAACCATATATCCGGAAGGGATCTCGTTTCCGATTCATTCCGATTTTTCTTCGATCTAGTAACGTTTCTATATATAAGCGAACACACGGTTTTCTTCGACTTTATCATCGATCGTCGTAGAGGAAAAGAAACGTAAAGAGAAGAAAAAGAATCTGAAAAAGCGTTGTAGTAGTCTATTTGAAAGGGCAGTTGCAAATTCTATCTAGAGACAATAGCGAGAACGCGATTAAACGAAACGCGAACTTGTCAGTGGCCGAGATAACCGGAAGGGCGATCATTGCGAGATGATAAACCGCGACGATATTAAAGTCCGTTGAAAGCACGCGGAATGCCTCGTTCTACGCGACACTTCTGTACGTAATTTTAGCGAGAGGTTTCGCTGGCGTTTCCATTTCTGCGTGAAACGTGCGTTTCATTCGCCATTCGAATACATCTCGAGGCAATCGAAAAACAATTTTCTTCCATCGCAGTGATCGCCCTTCGAAGCAGCTTAGGTGCGTGACAATGAACGGAATCACCGCTCTTATTCTTTACTCTATGAACATCGCTCGGCGTGCCTCGGTCCGAGAATAAATCGTGCAAATCAACCGAAGCAAGATTACGTGGCGTCAAAGAGGTAATTTAATAATTTGCCAGTCGGAGATAATGAAATTTTAAGCAGGATACAATTATCCCACCGGTTAATATTCATTATATTTAATCACGCTCCATCGATGCTCGTTTTAATCCGATCCGTATACAGTGGCAACCTTACGAATTTACATCGATTTTCGGATCGAGGATTTCACGCGTTGCGATCAGAACGATTGAAATTCGTCGGTTTAAATCTTTAATTTGAAACTTGCGAATATCAACGAGTTGTCACGACGATTATCAAGGCCATAAAATAACCATCTACCGATCACTCCGAAAATGCTTGAACAATCAGACGAAGAATGGTAATACCGATCACACCGCCAAACGAACACTTTCGTTCGCGGATCTCTCGTCATCCCTTCGACCTTTCTGCTTGAACGCGAGGTCATGTCGCTTCGGATCGATGTGCAAACGATACCTCGTTCCAGATCTATTCTAAGCTACTACTAATTCGCGTAGAACGGGGTACGAAACAGTACCAACGATTTTCTCGTCGTTATTCGAGAATGCACGAACTCCACGAGCCAGATTCTAACGTAAATCAAAATTTCCAATTCCCTATATAGCCTCGCTAAGAAGCATCGATCATCCTATCGCCTATATCGAACAGGCGTGACTTTCGTTTTTATTTTTTAACTATGTATGTATGTACGATTGCGAGGGCGATTTATCTTCGTAGTTAAAAACACAAAGCTTTCGTCGCGAACGCGACGACTAATTGATCTCGATACTCGTTGTTTAGCGATTAATTGTAACGTTTCGAACGGAACACCATCGACTCGTTCATCCGATACTCGCTGCGTTTACCGCTAAGAATACAACAGGCTGCACAACTAACCGAATAATTCAACGTGACTGAATCGAATTTTTGTACCGTTCTTTTTATTCCATCTCGTTTCTCTTTTAAAGCACGCGTGGATTCTCGACAACGATCCCGCGACTATACGCAGCAATAAAGTCAGCCTATTTCGTAAAGCCACACCAAAAGTCAGACCAAAAGCAAGTTCAGCCTGAAGAAGCGTGCGCCGAGTCTGTAAAAACGTAGCTTCGTAATTTTTCCGTTGGAATATCCCGTTTTTATTACACGCTGCGTAAAAATCCGTGTTTCCATGTAATATCGCTCGCGAGAACCTTCGAAGAGATTTAAGTTCCTAATTAGAATACTTCTCCCATTAAAATTCCAAGTTTCCAAACTTTTCTCGAAATACTCTCGATCGGGTGTAAATAAACACGGGTTCTTACACAAATATACACTGTCATGCACGCACGAAGTGTACACAACGAGACACTGTATACACCGGCAGAATACCGAGAAGCGAACCGCGTAAACGCAGAAACAAAAGAATCGTTCCGTTTCGGAAAAATGATAAAAGAAAACGAGGAAGAGGAGAAACACAGAAGAGAGAGTCTCGATAGGCGCAGAATTCGTTTTACGTCAAGTTTAATCTATAAAAGTCTTCCATTCCTTCCTCAACGTGTATTCGTCTACGTATTCGGCTGATTGGTTACGGACGTAGAGCGCACAGTGATATAGCGTGATTTCTGGAAACGGTAGAGGCCGAGCACTGACGGATCACCGGTTCTCGACGCGAGTTCCTCTCGAGATGACGCCACCAAAAACCGATCGATTCCACTGGACTGGCAGATATCGAAAGCGTAATCGCGCGTGTCCTCGTCCGCCAAACATTTACCACCCTTAATTTAGTAACTCACTGCGATACGGTTGAATTTCAGCCAGAAACGGTTTAACAGTAACGCTCTCGTGCGAAACATGCGAACAACGCGTCATTTAAACGCGTTAATTACATTTCGACGTTTAAATACTTTCGTCCGATTGCGTGCACGCACACAGATAGGCATAGAATAAGAGAGAGAATAAAAGGGAACGACGAGAGAGAGAGAGAGAGAGAGAGATATGGTTGGATGATCGAAAATCTCGCTGGGCTACGATTAAAAAAAAAAGAAAAAACACATGGCGGAGAAACTAATTCCAGCCAGCGTGTAATCGAATCAGAGGACCAGTTTTCGATTGCAATTTTCCACCCTCTAAAGGGAGACAATAACGCTCCGAGGAATATAATGGATTTTATACAGAAACTCCAGTCCACGGTGCTCTTTAATTCGTTTGTGGTCGAGAAACACGAAAGAAAGAAGGTATATATCTAGTTTATTCGTTAAGGAAGTTCGTTCTTATACAACGAAGTTGTAATTCGCGCTCGAGAAAAATCAAGCGACATCCTCCGGACGTTCGTCGACTTCGATAATACAAATTATTACAGCGAAACTTTCGACCGTCCGCGACACATTTCCGCTTTGTTCCGTTCTCTCTGGTCGAAAATTTCACGGAATCTCTACACCAACGGGAATTTTCGACGCGACTC